AGCAGGCATCAGCTCGACTCTCCGGACCCAGATTTCCCATGAAATGTTTTGATTTTAGTGTTTTAGCCATTTTCAATAGTTTTCTGTATTCTTTATTGACAATGCAATATACTGTCCCTAAAATGCTAAAAGGCTAACTTGAATGCAACTTTAGGGGCCTGGCATGAGGAAAGATAGCTTCCTTATGCCAGGGTGAGCAGCTTTTGACTTTTCCTTCTGTTTTTATTACTTTTTGCTCATTATTATGGGCCTCGCCAATTGCCTTAGACTAGTGCCCTAGACCTGGAAAAGGGCACCAGACACCTGTTTCTAGATTTTTATTCCCAGGGGACCATTCCTGGTCTGACATCTTCGACACTTGGGATGGTTGTTAACAACCCCTCCCCGGTTTATGTGAAATGATTGAAACGTGTCGACCTTGAACTTGGCCGCACTGCAGGGCAAAGGTTAGTAATAGCGCAGAGGGCCCGGTTTTAGTATATAGAGATGGCAATGTAATGTAGAGTGTAAAGAAGTCTTTTTCTAGGGAAATGTTGTTGTTTTGGACTTGGATGTTATAGGTAAGGGTTGTAGTATTGTAATTTTGGTGAAAAAACAGACTTGCAGCCATGTTTGTGTTGTTTGGCTGGCTGAAGAAGATATAGGTTTACATGCGGTCATCAGCTGTCCAGAGAGGTCAGGGGTCACTTTTCAATGTTTGGGTAGAATTCTCGCATGGTTTAGGTGCGTAGGATTTTGTCATTTTTTGGGAATGGAGACTTGAGAGGTTGGCCTACCCTGCCAATGTATGTTCTTCAAGGTCTAAAACTCAGGTATATGAATGTTGACCACGTTGTTTTGACATAATTCCCATATATTAACATAGGAAAGCCCTATTACTGTGCTGTGCCCTGGAGTGACCTCGTTAATGCTGGGGACACAATTCCCATACGGGGCCCGGCCGGGCAGCTGTTGGGAACGAAAACTACGATATATAAGACAACAAAACACAGAAAAGTTCTTAATAATAATCATGGGCTCTATTTCTCCATATTGTTGATAAGAATAGTTAATTTTTCGTTCGTACAAACAGCCCGGCCGGGCCCCGGTTTGGAAATGTGACCTAAGCATTAGACAATCCCAACCCCAACCCTAACCCTAAAAAAACTAAAGAAACTGTTTCCCTTCCCTGCCAGGTTGACAGTATAGAGTGTTGCATGACTGACCTTGGACTTGAAGTACACAGGATCGCTGCTGACTCTGAGGCCACCCTTGAAGGCGGTGACGTCATCTTCACAGGTAAGGCTACAGCAAGTAAATTTTTTGGATGACATCTACCGCAGACTCGAAATCTAATGCGATAGGGCTAAAAAAAAACAAGGCGAGCCAATACAAGATTTCTACATTTTCAAATTTTGACATCATGAATCTTGTAAAACAACAAATTATACGTATGTTGTGCTACGTGTATTGCCAATTATTCTAACACTACAAGTTTTTTAGCATTGTATGTTTTTTTTTCATTCTGGTGGAACAGCACATGTACACAGCCACCACAACATATAAAATGAATGAAATACATCTCTGCATAAAAAGAGACAAAAATATTAAATAAGAGCCATGTATTTATGTTTATCTGCCATCCACGTTCCGACATGGCAATAGAAATATCTGCCCATTTTCGGCATGTTCACCGCTGTCAGATGCAACAAAATTTCTGTTTTATTTTTTTAACATCCGGTGAAAATTAATGCGCAAGCTGATATCGTTCATAAAAATTACATGCTATGGCCTAACTCTGATAGTTTAGCAAGTTCCTGACAAAACTAATTACATGTGTATATATGTAACGTGAAAGTAAAGGACAGGCAATGGATAACAATATAGTATGTGACTACTCTAACTACTAAACACTAGAACTTTTGGGGTTCGACTTCTTTTTCCAAAACAGTGAAAGAGAAAATTATTATTTCAGCGACTTTCATGACGCACGTTTATGATTTTTAAACTTCTATTCAGGAAATCAAAATTTTCACTGTTTTAGTCATAAAAATCACATAAATGACGTCAAAATGACTTATATGACGTCATAATTACCACAAAGTACTACGAAATGTAGATTTTATTTGGTATGAAATGTAGAAAATAATATATTATTTTTTTATATTTCTTTAGGCACAGAGTTTTTCGTGGGAGAGTCAACACAGTCAAACAAGGCTGGCCACAAAATCCTGGCCGAAACCTTCCCAGAATACCCTGTTCACTCCATCTACGTACATCCGCCGGAAGTTCACCTGAAAGGCTTTGCAGCCATGGCTGCGCCTGGAATCATCGCATTAGTGGACGGCGAAAATGGAAGAAATGGTTGGAAGGTATGGACGGGGGGCGATATAAACTTCTTGTCACTTTTGAGTCTCAAGGACGGTTTTACACATTCAATAATTAAGCATTGGTGTCGTTACGAAACTCTATATATGCTGAAAATATACTAATACAAGCAAAGCTACCTGTCCTGTACCTAATTGTCTATCAGGGCCATGGGATAGACAGTAGTCTATAGGTCTCTCGCAATAGGGGTGTATGTGTGTGTGTGTCTGTGTGTGTGTGTGTCTGTGTGTGTGTGTGTGTGTGTCTGTGTGTGTGTGTGTGTGTGTGTGTGTGTCTGTGTGTGTGTGTGTGTGTGTGCCTGCCTATCTGTGTGTGTGTGTGGGTGGGTGGGTGTGTGTGTGTGTGTGTGCCTGCCTGCCTATCTGTGTGTGTGTGTGTGTATGTATGATTCCTGATGGCCCTTTAGGTTACTAATATGTTGTAATATACACTATTGGGTTCAGTCTGTCTCAGAGGGAGATCTAGTAGCGCTCTCTAGAACTGTTTTTTGTAACATGACCTCCTCAGCTGCTATTGTTTCCCTCGCACAATAAAGAAAGACTTGTATACACAGTCACCATTACGCACGTTTGAAATGTTTCATACGGGTCTGGTGTCTCTGAATTCTTTTTGAAATTTGTATTGCTTATGTTTTGCAGGAGATGTGTGAAAAGAGTAGCTACAGGTACAAAGCCATATGGCTGCCAGAGGACTGCGCGGAGAACTGTATATATGTTAACGGGACCATCATCCACGGTCCTGAGCGCCAGTTCCCTAAAAGCTACAAGGTATAAAGCCGATTATTACCTAATTCTAGCTCCGGCTTCAGTAGCCAGATTTCTGCAGAATCCTGGCTATTGTTAGAATTGTGGCTGCAGTTCCAGAATTCTGCAGAATTAGATTAATCCCCAAGGAGTCTTCGATGGCTGCTAAGTATTTCTTACATCATTTTACCTATAGTTTACGATATTATATATTGGCCAATCTAGATGTAAGATTGCTGAAGTATAGGAATTATTTGGGAATTAAATTTTAAGTCCAGAGGCTTTTTGTAATGTATTCATTAAGGGAAATATAGTAAAGGTGTTGGGTTGAGTTGCAAATGTAGCAATGTCGTATTGTACTGTTGATACAATGCACGGCAGCCATTCTTAAAACATGCGTTACGGTATGTGGGGTCGTGTTGCGTAAAGGCAGAGTGCTCGATTCGGATCCAAGAGGTCCCGGGTTTGAGTCCTGAAATGTAACCGATCTTGTGCCCTTGGGAAAGGCCATTTACCTTGTATTTGTCCTTTGCGTTGGGGCGGTATGAACTAAGTTGATATAGTAAACTTGAGCGCGCCGTCACCATGTCTGGTCATGAAATGTTTATTTATTTATTCATGAAGATTTACCACATTTGTGGAAGGATTGACATAACAGGTGACTATCACCTTTTCAAAGATATCAACCCCGAGACCAGACTATAAGGTTTGAACTACTCACACCGGGAAAGTCCCCCACTCTTTTCGATAAGTGCGGTGGGTTCTTTAACATGCGTTGGGTGTGGCTCTCCCAAACACGGGACCTCCATTCAACGTCCTATCCGAGGGACGTTCCTAGCCGAAGCCAGGTACTCATTTTTACCTGAGTGAAGTGAGGAAAGTCGTGTAAAGTACCTTTCCCAAGGGTACAACGTCAGGGCGCATGTTCGGACTTGTTCGGGTACGACCCGGAATCGAACCCGGGTCTCCCCGTTTCATAGTCCAGTGATGTACCACTGCGACGCCACTTTGTGGGATATGAAAATGCGTATATTTTTTTCACTCTTGCTTTGAGGTTTGGCGAAAGACAATAGTTTTTGTGTAGTGTTCAACAGTGCTTTATTTTTACCTTGACAGATATTAACGGAAGCCCTGGCCGACTACCCACGAATCGAAGTGTCGACGGAAGAGGTGTATAAGATATGCGCCGCGCTGACCTGCCAGTGTCTGCTGTTCTAGTGGCGTGTTTCTGTCTCGTATTAAAAGTTTAAGCCCCTGTCACATATTCACGAATCTAAAAAAAAGTAGGCCACCCTATGCTTTAATAGCTCAGGGCCAACCCTTCTTTGTTTTTTTGCGAACAATTGTAAAGTCTTTAATGTAGTTTTAAACTTTATTTTGCACACTGGTCGTTTGATTTGATTTGTTGTGATTTGTACACCGGTATTTTGTTCTTCTTTGTTTTCTCTTGTACCTTTTTTTAATTTTGTTTTGTTGATGTTACTTCCATCTGTATGTGTGGAGAGGAGAAAGCCTCGATACGTAATGTGTACTTTTTGCCCCATCCTTAAAAAATAAATGCGAATAAAAAACAAGAAGCCATAGGTGACAATCCTCCGTGAAGATTTATATATTTCAACAAAAACAATCCCAAGGGTCAACGCCAGACCTACTGTGCAGACATTATAATTAGGCAACGGTTAATACAATGAGGGCGCGTCACAAGCATATAACATAAAAAGACCTAAATCCATTACTGCTCCCAGGGCGTGTAAAGATACTGTGCTTCAAGTTTGAAGTTCATTTTGATTACACACACAATCATTGCATTCACATAAAGATCGGACTATCATGGTCGTGTCACTATTAACGAAGACACCGTCTTACCGTGCCTGTTACTTATTAAGCGCGCCTGGAACAGGCCAAATTCCAGCAACAGTCGCGGCTAGCACCGCGAGTGTTACTTCCGCCCGTCAGATACCCGGGATATCTGCTTGGAGAACCTCTGCTACCAGACAACTGCCTAAACCTACGGCCTATTCCACAGGATTGTAAAAGTAGGGATGTTTCTAAAATATGCATTTACTCCAATATCAAAACAGCTACGGTAAAAATAAAAAGACGTGCATCATCCCGGACATAATGCAACACCACATGCGAAATTACACAGAAATGCGACGTACGGAAGAATGCGTTTTGGCTGCGAACATCTTCCAAAAAACTTGCCATCTCTTAACCATGGGCAAAAACATCTTGAACCACTTATCAAAACACCCCGTATCTGCATGAAGTTCTACCCCCCCCCCCACTGCTATTCCAAACAACGCGTTTTTCTGGACCATTCCAATTCGCCTCGTAATTGTAGGGGTGCGTCTGCAATATTACATTGACCGCGAAAGCAGCAACGGCAAAAATACATATTCGTGCATCAACACGGGCATTGCCGCAGACGGCGTATAAAATTGCGTGCCGATTACACAAAGAGAACCCAGTGTTTTGACTGCGAACACGAAAAACCAGCCGTTCACAACACTCCGTCTCGGAGGTCCTGACCTCCTTCACGGAGTAACAATAATAATTTGGTTTCCTGGATACTAGCTGAACCCCCCTAACCATGGTTAGGAGTAGGGCAGCGTAAAGCGGTGTTTGGCCAGGTCGGCTACTATTCGGCTGCGCCTGTCAAATACCACAAAATATTTGACACATTTATGGGTCGGTCGGGAGGTTCCAACTCGGTTGGCTGTTGTGTCCGTTCTTATACCCCCACATACAAAACAGTACATACACATAATAAAGCTAATACAATGTAAGTATAAAACCTAGTAATAATATCGTGATGAAATACTATCAGAGTTTAGCTACCAAAGTGTCTACTCTTAATAAATTCATAGTTGAACATGAAATAATTATAGCAAGGTTGTTATCGTTGTTTATGCAGGTATAAAAGCTAGTAACAATATTTTGTAGAAGCATATAAATGATGAAATACTATCAGAGTTTAGCTAACAAAGTGGCTAAACTTTAAAATTTCATGGCTGAAGTTTCCCTTAACATGAAATTATAGCAACTTTGTTATCATTGGCTTCCATCCCCAGCAAGGTTTTCTGTAGAATCCTTCTCAGACAGATTGACAGTGTAATTGACCCCAAGCTAAGGGAGGAACAAGCAGGCTTTTGTAAGGGTTGAGGCTGCTCATCTTTGCTTTGAGAAATATTATTGAACAATGCATTGAATGGAACTCTCCACTGTTCATAAATTTCATTGACTTTCAGAAAGCTTTTGACAGCGTACACAGAAAAAGCCTATGGTAAATCCTGAGGGCATATGGTATCCCTGTCATATAGTCTCCAATATAAGACATTTTTAATACAGTGTCATAACGGAAAACTGCACAGCTCTAATGAACCCTTCTGTGTTAGGTCTGAAGCGTTAGAAAGGGGTGTATCCTTTCTCCAATATTGTTCCTGATTACTAGCCTCTACCAGGCTCCTGGAAAAAATAGTAGAAATTGGCCGACAAAACGGGGTAGTATACCAGAGAAGATCCCGGGCCAAAGAAGATCCAATTCGGTAATAAGGTACGATTTTATTCAAGTGTTGATATGTTTTGTTCATGGATTGTCCGAAGTTGTGCAGAACAAAGTCAGACCGTGACCACATCGTGCTTTTAGGGTTTCGACTAGGGCTGGGTACCGGTTCAGAAAATTCAGGTCCAGGTTCGGAACAGGTTCAGAGGATCAGGTCCAGGTCCGGACCTAAACCTGGACCTTATTACTGAAGTACAGTAGTAGCAGCAATTTAACTGAGTACGTGTATGCCTTGATGATATCTATCGCTCGGTACTACCACAAACCTCATGGTCCGTGAACTTTTTTGTCGACCTAAAATGGAACCCACTGTTACAGAAGAGACGAACATGGATTTAGGCTAATCTAGTTTGATTCATGGTTATTTTTTTCACTTGCCATGACCAGATTACCTAAAGATGTTTGTACAATCTACCAAAATGTACTCTAAAATTAACAGAAATGTACATCAGGTCCGATGATCAGGTTTTTGCGTTTAGGTTTTTTGGACTCGGTTCTTGAATGTTGTTCAGGTCCAAACAGGTCCAGCTGAACCGGTACCCAGCCCTAGTTTCGACAGCACATCGATGGCACATTTGACAAGGTTGAGCGGCACATAGGGCATGCGTTGGTCTTTTCCTCGTGCCCACGGGTCGCGAATTGGATCTTCTATGACCCGGGATCTTCTCTAGTATACTATCCCTTTATTTCGGCCAATTTCTACTATTTCCGCGGAGCCTGGTAGAGTCTAGCGTGAAACAACATCAGGCCGAATTTTCAACCCCGGGGACACCTTGTATGTTTAGTGCATTCTGTCTCATCACAGGTAGAACGTCTTTACTGTACATGTGTGGAAGGAACATCTTTGCCACAGGGCATGTTTCAGCTGTACCGTAGGGCTCCCAGCCTTCGTAAGGCAGGGTGCAGTCCGACTCGTTCCAAGCACCTGTAGACCGGTCGTATACACACGTACATGTATACGAGTCGACTCACGGATACGTTCCGAGATGAGGCTCGTGGTGCGTAACAGCGTATACAGCTGGTTCTCTAGTGCAAAGAAGTAGGGTCTATCAAGGGTGCTGTGAAACGATCGCTCAGATTCCTCCAAATGTCTGTCTCAATATCGCACACGTGTATCCTATCAAATTCAACCCCCATGCAAAAGATCTCTGTTCCCATGGCAATGGCTGTGAAGAGGCAAGGGATGCGTCCTGGTGGGGTCTTCTTACACCACTGGTCTTGGAGTGGGTCGTAGCGATGCATTTCTGTTTCGAAGAAGACATAGATGTGCGAACCACACCCCACCGTCTTGTTTAAATTCGATTTTTGATGCTTAGGCAAAATATGATGCATGGAAAGAACTGGAAGGAAACGCTACATCCTGTTTGTAACATTTCCGTCTGGGAGAACACAGGCGGTCATTTCAACCAGAATCAAGTCAAAACATAACCATATTTGGTCAGGAAGGTTGTTTAGAGTTTAGAGAGAAGTAATATGATTGTGCAATAGTTCCATTATTGTCGTTTTTTACAGTGGAAGAGTGGGAAGGTATTGATAAGGAAAAGTTACAATCTATAATTGGTTCCTAACGTCTTCTTCTTTACAGTAAAAAAACAAACAAATCCAAACGTGAGTGAATGAAGAGAAAGTTCATATAATCTACATCTGTAATGGTATGCCGTCCAACTCTAAGATCTGTTTATCAAGTCCTGACAACTCTAAAACACAATCATCATCTAAACTGGAGCGTCTGCGTCGTTTTCAAACATCATTTAATCTTACACTTACTATAATACTGTATATAAAATTTTATGTACAATAGAGTCAAAGCATCTAAAGCATGTCAACTTCAGCTAACTGGAAAATCTGTAGTATCAAATCCTAGTATGAAATCTAATGTTGCATAGCAATAAAAAGTACAAGAGCTTGTAGGGATCCACTGTGTACAAGCTTATATGGAATGTTGATTGTTCTCATTATGTTAACAACAGTTCAGAATGAGCATCTGCAGAGTACTGCCATCTGAGAAAGTCCCGTTACCAGGTCGATATGGACACTTGATGCTTTACCCACATATCCATTGGTTTGCAGAATAGATGACTTAAGGAATAATATACATGTACACCTGTTTACTGGTATATACAACATGTTTGACAGACGGTTGATCAAGATGCGTGTGCACGGTGGGTTCTGAAGCCATATTAAGTAGAACTGCCAAGTGCCATTTGCCATTGGTTAAACGTTCAGCCCTCCAGGCCAAAGGTTTGGAGGAGCTTGCTGTGTGATTCAGCCCAGTACTCTGAGTCCAGAAGCTTTTTCTTCAAACTTTGTGCGGCCTTGAACTCCCTGGGTCCATCCTTCAGGATCTTAATGATGCGCTTGGACAGCGTTTTGGCGGCTTCCTCATCGTCATCGTCGATCTCTACGATCGTGCGGTCAAACTCGGGATCTTGTTTCGTCAGGAACTTTGCAAGACCAGATTTGTTGGAAATCACGACTGGCACCCCTGCGGCGATGGCCTCCAGACCAACCAGTCCGAATGGCTCTGCGCGAGACGGCATCAGGACGACATCGGCCTTTCTCATGTCCTCGCACAGCTCCTCCTGTGTACCGTATTCAAGAGGTGTGAAGGGTACGAACTGGAATCTACCCGTATTGGCTTCGATGATGCTCCTGCTTGCTTGAAAATCATCACGTCTGAAGCCGCGAAGCCGCCACTTCGTGTTGGGTAGTTTGTCGATCACCTTGCCCATGGTCTTCGCCGTCAGATCAACGCCTTTCAGCCTCTCCACACCCTTGACCCTGCCGATGGACAGCACAACTTTCGTTTCCGTGTCGGCGGGTGGCTTCAGTTTCATATCGATGAAGATGTCAGAAGGCTTTGGCAAGAGTTCATGATGCTGTAGTGTTAGCTGATTCGTCTGATGCCTGTAGTAGTCATACATCAATGGCCCAACCGAGAAGAGAACATCAGCATCTCGTAGGTCATCCAGAATGCTGAGACTTTCCTGTCCGATGCTCATCACCTTCTCATCACCCTTGTACTGACTGGTTTCTTCTGGCATCACGTGGGTGACCTGGATGAGTTTGGCGCCAGGAAAGCGTTCCTTGATCCGTCTTGCTGCATGGCTTGTGATGTGGACGTGGCCGACGATGAAGTCTACATGTGAGGGAAGGCCTGGATATCGGGCCTGGTGGTCAAATGTTAGCCAGGAGATTTCTGCTTTTCTCCGATCACGTGGAAACGTCGTTGGAAAAATCAACTGAATTCCATCAGCAGCCGCGTCATCCTTGTCTTGTTGTGTGGCATTCAGGACTGTGCAAAGGACATTCGCTCCTTTTGAAGCCAGAAAGCACCCAATCTGACGGTTGACTGTGGATATTCCACCCTTTCTGGTCCCATACTCATCATTGAGCAACAGCACCAAAGGCCTTCTAGCAGATCCTAGAAATCAGGTCAAAAACAAGGAAACACTCATTCATTTGCCTTGTCACATGAAATTGCTTGATATTTTATGTAGGCCGGGAAACACAGTGTTTGTATATATTAAATTATACATATGTATATAAAACACCACAAGAATGACCCCAAGTACTTGTATTTCGACTGCACTCTGACTGCGTTCAGAGTCTAAAGATATCAATGAAATTTGACGGTTACAAAGAAGATTACATTGCTGCATCATCATCATCTATCATCCTCCGTAGAGGCGGAGCATACAAAGTTAGCTCGCCAAAACTGTTGCTGCATAGGCGTATAATGTTGTTGTTTCTAGTGTTGAGATGGTTTTTTTTCATATGATGTTTTTTTCAAAAGCGGTTCAGATGAAATGAGGTTAACCTTTCCAGGAAATTGTCAGTTGTCCAAAGGCCGTGGAGTGATGAGTTATATGATAGAGTTCCATGCAGGCGATGAAAGAGTATTTGGTTGAATGTCCTATCGGTGGAACTCGACTGTTGCGTCAAAAATATAATTTTTCTACATTGACTTATCTCCTCAGCTGAAAACTTTAAAAAATTATAGTTGGCTACATTGGATCATTGGATCTTAAGTCTGCAATCAGTTAAAATAAGAGTATTGCTATCAAAGTGATATTTCACAGCATAACTCCGTCCATACCTTGCTTCGGTCGCTTTACCGGGGGGCCACTGTCGCCGGACTCGCCGACATGCCGCGTTTTGGCTTTCCTCTTCCCACCTGTAATCAATATAAGATTGTTAAGCAATTTAAGCCATACCATGTCATCCATACGATTCCCTTTTCTTGTTTGACGTACCGTCCAACGGAATGATATTTCTCAGGCAAAAGGTGAAGAAGCATTTAGAATATGGTACAAAATTATCATGTTATATCTTACCTTTCTTATGTTGTATCTGGGGCGCCTTGACCACAGTGCCTTCCTTCTGCTGAACCTGACTTGTCTTCCCCTCATCTGCAATGGACATACGATGAGAAAAATGTTTACAGCTTAAATAAATGACAATTTATTAGTGTGGATTTCAACTTTGCTTCTCCTCTGCATCATATATATCATTAGCATAGTATTACACAAATAGAAAATCAAGGATAGAAACAGAATAGACCTACCTTCGGAGTGGAAAAACACTGTTGCTGACGGGATCCGGTGCTTGAGATCTGTTATTTGTGCTCCGGACTCAGAAAGTCGTCTGAAATGGACGGCCCCTTTGTACATCTTTTTGTTTTGGCTCGGGTTGTTCAGAATCAGTCCAACGGACGACCTGTTGCAGACTGGTGGGAGGGGGAAGAAGAAGATGATACCTTCCCTAAGATCACTAGAATCTCCAATGACCTCTTTTTCTTCATCAAACTTGGCGTCTATCATTTCTTCCCTGCCCATGACGATGCGTTGTTGAAACGGTGGGAGCGGCAACATATTCTCAGCGTGGAAAAAGTCGTCGGGGTCGTCGTTCTTGTGAACACACATGAGGTGGATGCAGTCGTTGTCTGTTGTTGCCTTGTTTGGGTTAATGATGAGGTACACTTTGTTTTCAATGTAACTGTTCCAACACGCCTGGAATGACAGAGAAGTTGTTGGAGATGTTGATGTTGATGGAACATTTGACTCTGACGCCTCCCGATTGGCTGTCTCCTCCTGGTTCCCTGGAGTCTCTGCAGTAGAGGTCGAAGTTTCTCTGCCTTTGCCACTTTCCTTGGCACTAGCAATCCTGAAAGATTAAACAAGAGGAAGAGAAATATTGAAGACGCCATGTAAACAAGAAACTAGTAAATACTTTGCCTAAAACGTGTGAAATAATTGCTCTATTAAGTTATGTTAATTACCCGGAAAAATGTCTCGTTGTGAATGTGACCGCGTCCTCTGTCTCTTGAAACTCTGTCCTAAGCAAAGACCACAGGGGAGGAGTTGATTTCCTTTCCATCAGGACGGTCTTATATGTGCCGCAGTCGCTCTTCTTCCATGCCCACGGCAGGGTGACTATCACAGGCTCTAAGAACTCCTCCTCCTTTTCCTGGTGCACAGTCAGTATCGGGGTCACAGCTGAGAAAGCCTTTGTTAAGGCGTCGTCAATGGGCAGCATTTCGACCTGAAAGATTACAATAAAATAGGTGGCAAAATAGATCCTTGGTGGATTTGGGGTTAAAGTTCATGTTTCACGGCTGCTCATTAATAGTAATTAGGAAAACGAATTATCCGGCTATAATGCAAAAACAGAAGCTGCATAATTGTCTCTAAGCTAGACATAGGATTAAAGGGACGGCATGTGACACAAACTGCAAAGCAAAGAAAGTAGACATGACTTTACCTCCAAGGACAGGGACCTCCCCGTCTTGACGCATCCTTTTGGAAAGGAGATAGTGACACCATCCTCCTCTATCTGGCAACCTTCTTCTGTGATTCTGTACGTGTTCAGCACAACAGAAGACGACGCCTGTAGAAACAAATTGGGATTATTTACAACGACTAAAAGCGATTCGACTCGCCTGTCTTGGTCCACGAGATGATCTGAATAAAATTATCGTACTGAACATTGCACTATACCAACGCACCTTCCTCAGGATATCTGCTGAAACGAGACCAATTTTGGTGTTGGATAGCTCTCCTTCAGTCATTGGTACTTCTGTTGCTGTCATATCCAACATCCCAGCACAGCGCCTGCCGAGCACCTCTAGCAAACGCTCTCTGGTTCCTTCAGGGTAGGCGAAGACCGGGAAGACCAGGTTCTTGTTTTGTACGCAGAATTCGTACCCGAGCGTGGACCAGTGCCTGCTGTGGAGAGTCTGGGGTGTGATGATCGGTACGACCATCCTGACGTTCCGTTGGAGAAGATGGTGCAAGAGTTTGTCTGTGATGATTTCTCCTGGTTCGATGACGTCTTCAGACACTGTTACCCCGTACCTGCTGGACGATTGGACTGCCTGTTTCAACAGTGGCTGCACCAGCTTGTCATTGTAGTCTCCGGTGTGTAGGAGAACAATTTCGTTCCCTGGGAATAAATGTGAACATTAATATTTTGAAGTATGAACAAAGTGTCAGAAAAAAAAGCTGTTAAACAGGACAAAGCATCACATAAGGAGGAAGATAAATCAGAGGCTTCAAACTACAGCCAGGGAAGACGTACCTCTCTCTTCCCTTGGGAACATGGGTGCTCTCTCAGGCAGACAAACTTCCACGGACGCACCCAGGAAACGACGGCACATGTCTCCGGCCCTGTTGACGGTGGCGACCAACTCTTTGAACCTGCTGACGGATGTGAGCTCGTGTCTGATCCGATCGCACTGCGCCAGATTCAGCCCTCTGCAGGTCTCCATACAGTCCAAGACAGGACCGATCGTGTGGACTGCGTCTGGGTTCAGCGTGGGCTCTATCATCACGGGTCCGGAACCACCTGAGTTCTCTGCATGTGCAACATGTTTTCATCAGTAACGAGTAAAAAAAACTACTTTAAGAAAATGAGCTAGACAAAATCAGACATCTGAATGTTTTTACCTGCACAGGACGTTGTCGTATCACTTCTGCCACGTATCCAGACATTGATGAAGTCTTCTGGAAAACTGAGATAAAAACTATCAACACGGCGGTCTGTCACTACGGCATTCTCTCCCATTGCTAGGCGCGTTCTAAAAAGTATCGGGTTACAAGACGCTATTTTGGCCTGTTTTGGGCTACCCGTAAAACATTTGAAAATAAACAAATAATATTAAGTGGTAAATTTCGTCAAATTAAAATGAAATTATCGTCTTAACATCGTTTAAATGATAGCCGTTTATGTTAAATCAGTGATTTTTCAAAATTTCGCTCAGAAACACGATTATTTTCGGGTTTCCGAGCACAAGTCATGTCACGTTTTAAGACAAACATCGTTCAAACCTGGCTACGTATATTACCCCAGATCCTCGATTTTTATAAACTGTTTGTATCTATGGAAAAGTGTTGTTTTTTATCTGTTGCGAGGCACTCAGGCAGAAGGGCTTGTTTTGCCGCTTTATTTTAAATGACCGCAGGTGACCCCGAAATGGAACGCGGGTTCGATTCGAATTGCCCAGATCGAACACGATCGAACACAGTTCGGGTTCTATGATATGTGGGAACTTTGCAGCCCAGATTTTACCACCGTGCAATTAGTCACACATAGCTTACTGACAGTGCAATGTTAGGGACATACAAGACAAGTTCAAGAAGAATACTGCGCTTATCAAATGAAAGGGTTTGATTAACGGAAAAATTGAAAATACAACTGGTCTCACCGACTGGATTCCGTTGCCGTTTCTTGCTCGATGTCAGACAGTCGGTAGAATACTGGTGTTCCTGTTCCTTTTTCTGACTCCTCCCCAAAGCACCAGTCATACTGGATGGACGGGATCCACTTCTCCTTGATCTCGAAGAGACAACTGCTGAGGAACTTTCTAACAGGAAGGCCCTGTGTGAACACTGTTTGGTCTTCAGCTTCAGCAGACAGAAGCTCCACCTTCAGGTAATGCTTCACTTTGGTTACCACGAACTGTTGCTTTACATCGTCAGTAGGGAAGCGGCAGCAGCCGGCGAACACGCGGGACTCTTGAAGACCGAACCTGCGCACACAAATCGCTTGTAGACGGTAGAACATGCCACTTGGGAGGAACATGTTGTCGAATACGACATACAGAGGATGCTGGTATCTCGTCATGTGTCCAGGATACAAGGTGCTGTCGTTCGGCTTTGCGGCCAGGAGAGATGGTACGAAGTAGATCTCTTCTTTCTCAGGCTCGTCTGCCGTGTCATCTAACCCACCGATCGGCGAGGCATTGCAGAGGAGGTAGTACTTTTCCATCAGTCGCTTCAGGAAGGGCTTGTACCGCAGTAGGAAGGGTTTCTGCATCTTCTGATCTGCTTTGGTCCAGATGATTGTCAACAGCCTGTCACTGAGGATGCCTTTCGTCTCCAGCCTCCTCCACATGGCGGCAACCTCTCCGTCCGTGCTCCTGTCCTGTTGGTACTCCGGGACGGTGATGATGGTCTTGAAGACGTCAATCATCACCTGAGGTCGAAGGGCCACGTGATCACGGAGAACGGGTTCGTTGATGAAGATGATGTCACCAAGGTCGTGTAGAAAGGTCAAAATGTCGGCAACATGGCTGTCGTTCGTGATGCCCACGTCATCACTTCGGGCCAGATCTACGACATCCTGGAAACGGCAGAATGGGTCGTCCTCTCTCCTCTTGTCCATCAGTTTGGACTTCAGATGAAGCCAAGTCATCGGCACCTCCTGGCCCATGAACCACAGACCCTTCGCCACCTCACGGAGGTATTCTCGGAGCTCGTCAATGTCGCTGTTGTCCTCGTTGAAGTTGTCGATGACAAATATCTTAGGCAAGACATGTTTACCGGCAGCCTTACCACTGATGTGATCACGTATATCTTTCTTGTACTCCTCAATGTCCGACTGAAAAATAAGAGCACAAATTCATTTTAAGGACTTCAACGTACTGTTGATCAATCTGAGAAAACAACCCAAGGCTGAACCTTGCAGCCAAGAATATTAACTACAAGTTTTAGGGCAAAGACAACCTAGAATTATTCGTAGATTTACGAAAACATTCCTCATACCTCATCGACTCTGTCCTTGTGCGTGAGGACCAAAACGACACGCGGCTCTCCTGTCTGCTCCCGCCCGTGCACCAGGGTGTGTGTGCGGACTGAGTTCAGCCAGTGGTCCAAGTAGTCTGGACAAGTAGAGATGTCGTATCATTTTTGTGTACGAAATTATATTTGCCTAATCAGCTTAACAATGTTACAGATTTAACTTTGATTCCCATGTTCAAGCTTTGAAGTCGACCACCTACATGTAGGTTCACAGTTAAAGAAGTATTATATAGTGGTACGTACCTCTTCCAGTTACGAGATTGTCCGCTGCCGCCTTGTAGTCCAGATCAGGAACTGGGTCGGACAGCTTCTGCAGCAGTGACATGACCAGGATGTAGATCCCGCGGTACGTGAAGAAGCACTGGTGCGAGCCGTAGTACGTGGCCTGGCCGCCGAAGTCCCAGAGGGAGAGACGCGGGTGTTCGGCTGTTCCAAGCTGCTCCTCGGTCACGCCACCTTGGAGTCGCTCTTTGGCTTTTGTTATGACATCATCCGGTATGTCTTGTGTTTGCTGCAGAACCGTCACGTCGCTCTGAAGTCGCTGTTGAGGTTTTATTTTGACATCATCCGGCATGTCTTGTGTTTGTCGTGACGTAGTCGTAACCACACTTTCTTCTCTCCCTGCAATGAAAGATTTGTCTTGTTTAATCGATCTTACAATTTTAATGCCATTCATTCTTTTGCATCTTTTCTGTAGAGGCCAATTACTACATTTGCAAATAGGTTTAACTTGGCTCAAAGACATACATTTACAACAAAGAACCGTCTAACGTAAAGCAACAAGTTCCCTTTTCTACATCTTCTATAATGTGCATTTCTTACTTGTGAAAATATCTAATAATGAATTTCCACCTTCTTTCTGCAGTTTTGGTGTCTGTTGGCTTTGCGTCGGCGTCTCGCCCTTCGGTTGTTTCTCCTGCTGCGTTTGCAAAGTCCGTTTCCTTGTCATTTTTTTTGCTTTTCCTGCATCTTATATAAACACGAGAAATTCAGTGAGATATCACTGTCCCTTCGTCTCTTTATGTGTTTTTCTAGAGAGAGAACTTTAGCAATACGTAGATGATGTGGTGTGAAAAAGATATATAGGTGTCAATTCTCTTGTTCTGTGCATACATTTTAGATTAATGAATAAAACCCCATACTTTTAATTTTTTTTAACAGTAAGTTTTTAAGCGTCGTTGTCCTGGGTGTTAACATTTTTGCCCTGTACATGTGTATATTATGTCTATTGATATAATATACACATGTACATATTAATATGTAAAAGTGATATTGGATACCTGTAGACCTTTTCCTGACTGCTCCTTGGGCTCCTGACGATGTCCGGGTGCGTGGTTTGTCCCGTTCTTGTTGTTCCGCCAATCGTTCTGCCATGGTTTCCTTGAATTCGTCTGGCTCTTCTGTAAGCAATAGATGCCATATACCGTATGATTCGTTGTTACAGCTGAGACTCGTTTGGCAATTTCATCTTGAACAAACATGGTATTCATGTTCTTTTGTGATCTGTTGTTTTTTTAGATGCAAAATGATCATGTATCATTGCATGACACGTACTTATGGGCCGAAACTCTCTAAGTAGCAAGGACTATAATGTCGTGCCAGGTGATAGATATGAACATGTTTTCGGACCTTTTGCCTTCCGCCAAGTCTTGGTCTTCACGCTGGGTGAAATCTCGATGCCGTCTGTTATCGGTTCATTCTCCACAGCCTTCTCTCCCGTCAGCCTCCTGACGACACACGTCTTCCCGGATCTTAACTGACCAACCACGAGCCCGCGCACGCTGTGCACCGGTCGCGCCCCCTGGCGGCAGGCCTGGGAGTACAGCTGCTGCATTCCAGGACCCCGCAGCTGTATTTCGAGTGGAACACTGCTGTCTCCTGGATGAGAAGATTTTAGTATTTTATCAGACATTTATAATTGTATCACTTTACTTCTCGTGCACTTACGTAAAGCCGACGTCTGAGATAGAATGATCTACTGAGTCAAGTATTCAACAGTAAATTTACAAATAGTTGTGTGTTACACCTTACCCTTTTTTGCCGACATCCCTAAGTCTTCACGATGTCCCGTGATGTTCTCAGTCCCCATGTCGTCTATGGGGAGGCTCCGTTTACTGCCGCTCTTACTCCTACGATAGTTGCCGATGAAGTTCTGGAAAATCATTACAAATTACTGTTAACCAGGTTGATACAACGAAAAGATGAATCACAATTCATTTGAGGCACAGAGTACGATTTAATAAGGCTCTTGATACAGAAAATTTACGAGTTACACCAACAATTCCAGCTAAAGCTCCTCTATCAGCACAAAACGTTTTAGCCGTTAGTAAGATACAACTAACTAAGCTCAAGGGCTCCATCAGTCATCATAAAGACACACCTTCACTTGGTCTACAGTTTTCCCGCTCTGCTTAGCTGCTTCTTCTATCAACGGACAATCCTTCTTCGCCACGGTCATTCCTCTTTCTTCATAGAACCGGACGAGTACAGGATCGTAGTCTTTCTTACGTGTGGAGACTTCCTGCAAACATGCATACGTGAAAGTGAGTTATGTTTGGTATGAAGGCGGTTCCACAATTCTTTCTGAAACAGTACTCATTGCAGCAGGCTGAAATTTGACATATATCTGTACACATACACGTACATGTCTCTATAGATAGATCGCATGCCTTCCAACTTCCCTCGTAACTAAATGTTTCTACGCAATTCTGATGATAGTCATAATGCATCTCTCTACAGCCTGCCAAGCAGAATACAAAAATTCTAAGTGAAACTAAAAAAAAAAAATACTAGCATGCGTACCAGATAAACTAAAAACAACTTTATATCATCGATATCTTCAACTTGTAGTTTGATATTGTCAACAGCTGTTTGTGAACCGAAATTTACAGTCATCTCCATCATATTCTTTAGATATAATGCTATATGATTTTGCATTACGGAAGTTTTAAAGCGACTCACATTATTTTGTTGTCGGAGAAGCTTCAGTATTTCCTCTCTACCACGAATAATTCGGTCTTCGTCATCTTCGTCGTCCGGATCAGCGTCACGTGTGTCCTCATCTGCAGCGATGTCCTCCGCCGTTTGACCATCCTGGGAATGAACATGCAGTGAATTAAAGCCTTATGAATGTTGAAATATTTGAAATAAACACGACTGAATGAGTAGACAATTAAGCATCTAAAATATATACAGGGCTATACAGTAGGTACAGCAGCAAAGCCCATGTCTAGAAAGAAATTGGTTTGTAGGTGTTTCTGTGATACGATGCAGGAATATCACTGAACACATCGTGATTTGTGTGTTTATTCCAACAACAGCTTCCTCCTTGCCTCGGGCAGTAATGTATGTAGTATCATCATTATGATGTATGTGGATCATCATTTCTTTTTTAAGTTTTAAAAGAAGTAAAGCCAATATTGTATTAATTTTCTGGATTGGTGGTCATTTATTTACCAAAGAACCGACTGACCTCATTCCTGAGACCGGCATCAGCCCCGTGCTGCAGCAGTATTTCCGCACACTTGGGGTGACTATATATAGCTGCGTAATGGAGGGGGGTGTCTCCCTGTTGGGGCATTGACGGTGTAATTTTTCATCCTTAGTATGCTCAAATAGCAACACCTTATGAATGTATATATTAACATCACTTACTGACTCCAAGCTGGCTTGAAACCATTCCTTACATTTGCCATTCATGCTGATTGTTTCTAATAATGGATAATAACGGTAGCACTACAATTTAAATCCTGCTGATATTTTTTTGCTCAATATTTTTCAATTTCGTGTCTTAATCAGGTCATCGACCCCTGGCCTTTTTTGCCATGCGATGGGGTAGTTACTTCCGCATTCGTTGCGTTTCGCTGTGGTGTGATGCGTTGCACGAAAATAGCCCCAAATTGTACATATACAGGGCACTATATGCATGATAATATATGTGCAACCCTTGCTTTAGGACACCAAAAAATGTATGATGTATTCTATTCTGAGAGTTAATTATATGCTGTATAGCCCCATGCGTTCTAATCCGTACCATATTCATGTTGACAACATGTTAAATTGTAGACAGCAAATAAACCACTAAGTAAGAAGATTGAGAAGATGAATGTCAAATCTTCCAAGATGATACAGAAATATTTCTTGAGTCCCAGCGATCAGTCTACCTACCCACTTGTCCCGTGCGTTCACATCTGCACCAGCTGTCAGTAAAACTGACACAGTTTCATGGTGGCCACTCCCGGCTGCCCGGTGCAGGGGAGAGGCTTGCTGTAAAATAGATCAGATGACCTTCAGCATGACGACAGGTCGGACGAATGTGCAGTTATCTTGTTGACAATTCTAACGGAATTCAGCAAGTAAACTGCTATACAACTGAAGATGTCAAATCCCATAAGAGACATAAAAATATTTCTGCGTCACAGCAATCCTTCTACCTACGTCATCGTCCCGTGTGTTCACATTTGCACCAGCTGTCAGTAAAACTAATACAGTTTCATGGTGGCCACTCCAGGCTGCCCAGTGCAGGGGAGACCCTTCCTGTAAAATACATCAGATGACCTTCAGCATGACAACAGGTCGGACAAATGTGCAGTTATTTTGTTGACAATTCTAACAGAATTCAGCAAGTAACCCGTTATGTAAAAGATGAATATCAAATCTTATAAGACATAAAAATGTTTCGGAAATAAAGTAGTCAGTCCACCACCGTTATCGTTTTGTGCACATCTGCACCAGAACAGACAAAAGTGCCCCATGAAATGTTGGTACGAGTAACAGTGTTTTTGTTTGTGATATTTTAAACAGCAAATCTTAAATCCTACAAAATGGCACAAAGATAGTTCTTGTATCACAGCAATCAGTGTACCAACAACCATGTTCTGTGCGTTTACATCTGCACCAGCTGTCAGTAAAACTGACACAGGTCCCGTTGCACTGGGCAAAATAAATTTATCGGGCGTCGCGGCGCAAGCTGTACGACACATTTGTATGCGTGTAAACAGAAAAAAGGAGTTCCTAGTGAATTCTTTTATCAGTGACAACTTTGGAAGGGTAAGGATACTAACCTCCAAATTTTCGATGGCTATCAGTCCATCTTGTTCACGGGGTGGCCTAATCTCGCGAGAGCGCGAGACTAGGCCCGAGACTTGCATCGGTCTGTCGGGTCCCACCCCCCGTCGCCTCCCTCCGAAGTAAGGGTAAGTAAGTCTTGGGGAGCTCCCAACCTTCTGTCCGGTTTAGCTTGGCACCTTCCAACTGTATGTGCACCGCTTCCTTAATCTTCCTATGTGGGTTACGAGACTCTTGATCTATGATTTCAATAATGTCAGAGATGGGCCTGGTAGTGATGTTGTGACCAGCCTGGAGTTGGTGTTGACTTAACGCAGATTTGCAGTCTTTCTGGTGTAATGACTTTTGGTGTTCAGAAGTCCTTTCCCCCAGTGACCGCTCAGTTTCACCAACGTAAACCTCCCCGCACTCTTCACACTTGATCTTGTAGATCACACCGCACTTCTCACCAGGTGCTAGAGGGTCCTTGGGTCTCACAAGGGCATTACGTAAGGTGAAGCCCGGTTTGGAGTACAGGCTCACATTGTGTTTTGCATATACACGTTTCAACCTCTCTGTGACTCCATGTATGTAGGGTAGAACCACGTAACTCGCTGGGAGTTGTTCTTGTTTTCCAGTCTTACTCTGTTCCTTGCTACTTTTGTCCTTTCTGGAGTTGTTTTCCCCCTCCCTCAGGGCCCATTCTGGGTATCCACAGTGTCTGAGGGCTACTCTGACTTTTTCCTTGCAAGTCTCGGGCCTAGTCTCGCGCTCTCGCGAGATTAGGCCACTCCGTGAACAAGATGGACTGATAGCCATCGAAAATTTGGAGGTTAGTATCCTTACCCTTCCAAAGTTGTCACTGATAAAAGAATTCACTAGGAACTGTATCTATACGTGACAAATGAATCTCTTCAAAGAAAAAAGGAGGCATTAGGGCAGATTCGGGCTAAAAGCATGCAAATTAAAAGGAACGGTACAACGAAAACAAGTCCATAAAATAAAGTACTTCTATTACAAACGAACAAACAAGGACTCAAACAACCGGAACGGCAGGGTCAGGGTTCATGTGACGCAGCGCGACGCAGCCTGCCACAGCCCGCCGCAGCAGCGGCACGCAGCGGGAGCCACAGTCCCTGTGTACGTGTGTAAACCGAAAAGTCTCCTAGACGATTTGGCGCCCGCCGCGCGTTTTGACGCCCGACAGATTTATTTTGCCCAGTGTAAACCGGGCCACATGGAGGGCATTATAGGCTGCCTGGTGCAGGGGAGAGTCTTGCTGTAAAAAACATCAGGTGGTCTTCATCAGCATGACAACAGGAAGAACAAATGTGCAGTCATGTTGGTGACAGTTCTAAGGGTAGTCAGCACATAAACAGCTATGTAGAAGACGAATGTCAAATCTTACAAAATGGTACAGGAATATTTCTTGTATCACAATAGTCGTAGACAGCGGGTAGTCGCTGAAGGAGTTTTCTCGGAATGGCTCCCTGTTATGTATGGAGTCCCACAAGGGTCCATTTTGGGACCTTTACTTTTCTTATTATATATTAATGACTTACCGTCTTCTATAGAATGCCCTATGGCTCTTTACGCAGATGATTCCAAATGTTTTAAATAAATAACTTCGCCTTCTGATAGTATTTCTCTCCAACGAGATATTGACAGCATGGTCGACTGGACCTACACATGGAAGATGAAATTCAATACCTCTAAATGTAAAGTTCTCACAATCTGTAGGTCTAAAACGCCGGTGTCCCATGTATACAAAATGGAGGGTCATGTGCTCTCCTCAGTCACAGAATTCAGTGACCTTGGAGTATCTATCTCCCACCTTCTGTCTTGGAAAAACCACATTAAATGTATCACGTCCAGGGCGAACTCAACCCTTGGTTTTATTAAAAGGTCTGTTGGTCACCGTGCCCCAGTTAACGTCAAAAAATCTCTATATGGAACCCTTGTTAGGCCTAAACTTGAATACTGTTCGATGATCTGGTCCCCTCACAATCATAACCTAATCACCACCATTGAAAAAGTCCAGAGACGTGCCACAAAATATATTCTTAACGACTATACATCGGATTACAGGGAGCGACTGATTAACTGCTCTCTCTTACCTCTTTCCTATCGCAGAGAACTACTTGACCTATCCTTCCTGTTTAAATGTTTTCTAGGCCATTATGAAATAGATATTCAGCACTACATAACTTACGCTCACACTTCATTAAGATCTAGCTCTCAGGCCAAGCTTCAACCCAAAAAATGCCTCACTACTACTTATAAAAATTACTTCTTCGATCCAAAGAGTTGTTCCCATTTGGAACGCCTTACCCCTTAATATTAGACTTTTAAAATTATGCCCCACAGCCTCTATAACCACCTTTAAGAAATTAATCCTAGTTTACTATCTCTCTCTTACCAACAACAGATTCCATCCCAACAATATATGCACCTGGCTTACTCAATGTCCTTGTCGCAAGTGTTCTCCATTCTAATCACCCCAATCGGATATCTTGTTATCATTATTATGATTTATTTATTTATTCATCTGAATTATTTTGCTAGGTACCTTTTCAAATCAAATGTTGTTAATAATTGATATTATTATTATTATCACTTCTATCATCGTTATTGTTTTCATTTGCTGTTTTTTCTCATACTGCTGCCGACCTGTTATGTATCATTTATTACTTATCGAATGATTTATTATTTATCGTTGGCTCGCAGTTCTATTTACTTCAACGTTCATTATATGATTTGTTAATTCTTTGTCATCACCCTTGTAAATAGTGTTGTCATGGTTTCTGTTATTGTTTATTTTGTTTATTATTTATGTAATCCTTATCAGTTTATATTGGTGGGGGCATTAAAAAGGAGTATGTTCCTGTTTCCCCCAACCTTTTACATTTTGTTGTTATAAAGCTGAAATAAATAAATAGTCAATCTACCTACCTCAACATCCCGTGAGTTCAAATCTGCACCAGCTGTCAGTAAAGCTGACACAGTTTCATGGTAGCCATTCCTAGTTGCTTTGTGAAATGTTACGG